GGCCAGCCCCGCCCTGCTCAGGCCAGCCCCAGACTTACTCTGCCTGTAAGGGCCAGGAAATGAGGGGGGCCCCGGGGGACCAGGGGGCCCTGGGGGCCCAGGGGGGCCCTGGCGCCCTTCATAGCCAATGCCAGGGGGTCCCTGAGGTCCAGGTGGGCCAGGCTGGCCTCGGATGCTCTCGCCCTTGGGACCCTAGGGTGCAGACAGAGCTGCCACTTAGGCCCTCTGACGAGCCTGAGGGTCCAGTCTCATGAGGTCCAGCACGGGCGCGGCCTCACACCTACCGGGATCCCGGGGTAGCCTGGGGGTCCCGGGGGCCCCGGCACACTGGAGCCGAAGAATCCACCAGCGCCGGGCTCGCCCCTTTCCCCTTTCTGCCCGGGCTCCCCTCGGTCGCCTTTTTCCCCCTGTGGAAGGACAAGAGTGTCGGGACAAGCCCCCTCTGCTTGTCGATGGGGTGAGGGGGCTGCTGACCCCCAGAAGCCGACCGGTGGGGCGGGGCGCGGGAGGGTGCGTGCGGCCCAGCACCCCGTGCACCCACCTTCATCTCAGCCTCAAGGTGCAGGAAGTCCAGCGGGAACTGCCCTGGAGGGAGAGAGGGCCCAGGAGATGGGCTCCGGGCACGCGGCCCCTGCGGCCCCTGCGGCCCCTGCCCACGCATCACGACGCCCGCCCCCCGGGGTGCCGTAGTCTCTCTCATGACGGTCCCTTGCTTCTCTCCCTGACAGGTGAGCGGCGTTTCAGTGGTGGCCCGGCCCACCAGGCCCACCCCGCCCCGCCCCGCCCCGCCCCCGCGCCGCCCAGGGGATGTCTGCCCTGCGCTCCCTGCGCTCCCCGCGCTCCCTGCGCGCTCCAGGGGGATGCCTGCAGAATCCCACGCCTGGGGCAGCGCGCAGGGGCGTCCCGGCTCACCAAGACCTTCCGGAAGCCGTTCCTGACGCGCACAAACAGCTCCTCCCGCTCGGCCACGAAGAGGAGCCAGCCCTCGGGCACCTCGCGCACCTTGTCCAGCATGGCCTGGTACGTGGGCCAGATCCTCACCTGCGGGGAGCAGCCGGTGGGCGGAGCGCGGGGCGGGGACGGCCCAGGGCGGGGGGCTGCGCCTGGACGTTCGTGGGGTCCCACCTCGCATTTGCTTCCTGATAAGGCGCGGTGGGGGGGCATGGGCACCCTCCCCTGGGTACCCTGGGAGGGCCCGTCAAGGCGGGAGCGGCGGGTCTGGCACGTGCCCTGGCGGCACCTGCCGAACTCCCCACGCACCCTCACCCCTCAGCGCAGTGGGGGCACCCACGTGGACCCACCCCCAAGCGCCCACAGGGCCCAGCTGAGGGTGCCGCAGCCCGAGGCAGGGTGGCGGCCAACCACTGCTTACCCCTGACGAGGTGCCCAGGCTTCCTGGGGGCCCTGGGGGACCTGGGGGCCCCGGAGGCCCCGGCACACTGACAGCTGCAGGGGCAAGACCAGAGGTGGGCCCTGGGCGGGGAGTAGGCAGGCCCCGCCCCGCTCAGGCCCCGCCCTATCTAGCCCCGCCCCATGTGCCGCCCCCACCTCCCAACAGGGTAGTGTCCTCAGCTGGTCTGGCAAGGGTGGCCGCCTTCCTGGCTCCGCTGGTCGGCTGAGTCAGGCTCAACTGCCAGCATAGTGACCTGGAGGCAGCTGGGAATGGAGATGGCAAGAAAGAACTGGAGAGGGAGGAAGGGGTGCGCCCAGGATGGGGGAAGGAGCCCTGGATTAGGAACCTTCCAACCAGTTTTCCAGGGGGTCCTAATATTGAAGAGCTGTGTGACCTCAGGAAAGTTGCTGAACCTTTCTGGTTGCATTTACTCATCGAAAACTAACTGTAGACCTGTTGTATGCCAGGTGCTGGGAATACGAACAGGACCAATATACGTTGCAGTACAAGTCCTGGCTGGAGTGAAGTCCCTAAGTCCCAGCTATGTATCTATTGACTAGGTGACCTTGAGCAAGATACTCAGCTTCTCTGGATTTCATTAACCTCATCAGTAATTTAGAAGTAAAACACCTACTTCAGGAGGCTATGAGGATTACATGAATATTTACTTGTAAAGTCCTAAGAATAGTGCCCATTAAGCCCTATTATTAAGTTCATATCAGGTTCATTATTAGCTATTATTACTGTTATCTTTACTCTCTTGGAGCTTATATTCACTGATCTTATCTTTCTTATTTAAAATTTATTTTTCAGATGAACTATCTTACATATGAAAAAGATCATAAACTCTACAACGCTAACATCCTACTTAACACATAAAGCATTCTTTCTGCTCCACTTTGGCCAGGTCTTGATATCCATAGCCCTTGAGGCCTCTAGAATCTCTTGCTCCCAACCCATTTGCTTGCAGTATGTGAGAGATATAGATAAAACACAAATTGATTCCTGCCATAACTGGTCCTAAAAACAGATTCTTTGACATCCCTGTCCTGTACTTCTGATCCCCTAAGAGCAAAGTTCCCCTTTACAGTTCCTAAGCATCCCCTACTGTTTTTGTATGCAGCCCCTCTGTATGGGGACTGGTGCATTCCTTCCTCTCTCTCCTTCTGAAGTTCAGGAGAAGCACCTTCCTTTAGCCCTCCAAGGCTCTCTGAGCCCTGTCCACCAGGAGGTAGGTGTGTGTTCTCTCCTAGACTGTAAGCCCCTGGCAGCAGGCCCGCCATGGCTGACTCATTTTCATGTGCTCCTAGTAAAGGAAAGGCACGCACCACACTACAAAGTTGTGGCTGAGTATGTTTGGGGGTGCTCTGCTGGGGTAAGGTAGTGCTGGTCATTGTGACTCCAACTACATCCTCCTCATGGGGAATTTACAGTTCTTCAGCAGTAAAACTGCTGGGGAAGAATACAGAGTCCATTAAATAGGGTTTGCATTAAAAAAAAAAAAAAGATTTTATTTGTTCATGCATACAAAACCTGGTATAGGCCAGAGGTGCAGGGGCGGTGAGAGGATTCACCAGAGACAGAGTGGGGAGCAGAACAGGCAGATCGACACAATACACTGCTGAGGGGAGCAGGGGGCAAGACAGGAGAGGTCTGCTGTGCCATGTGGGTCACCTCACCTTTGCAGTGTTGTGCTTTTACCTGTTGTGCCTTCAGGGAGGACCAGGGTTTGCATTTTTTTTTTAAAGATTTATTTATTTATTCATACAGAACTGGGGTACAGGCCAGAGACCCGGAGGGTGAGAGGATTCACCAGAGACAGAGCAGGGAACAGAACAGGCAGATCGACAAAGTACACTGCTGAGGGGAGCAGCGGGCAGGTCAGGAGAGGTCTGCCGCGCCCTGTGGACTCCTCCGGGGCAGGCGGGAATCGAACTCATGCGGAAGTGGTTTTAAGCTTCTCAGTGCAGTGCTTTAACCCGCAGCGCCACCAGGGAGGGCCAGGGTTTGCATTTTAAAGACACCTGAGCACAGTGTGATTTTCCTGCAGTGCCTAGGGTCTTCTTTCTAGTCCCTTCCTATTCCTGTACTTCTTTGCCCTCTGTCTCTGAGCACAGTGGGTTCTCCATAGTGAGTAGTTCTTCCCCAGGGGCTAAATGTAGGACATGCATTGCCCAGTCATGGGTCTAAAAGGCTTGTGGCTTTGGGAAAGCCAAGCCTAGCCTCAGAATGCCTAGGTCCCAGGATAAAGAGAAGGTTCTTCCAGAGTGGGGTTCTGGTCTCCGTTCACCCTGTCAAACGTATTTGCAAAGCTGATTCTCTTCACAGGGAGAGAAGTGACTGACTCCATTTAAGCAGAGATAAACTTGTAAGTGTTCTGAGACTGGGGAGAGAGTAGGTGACTGAGGTGGGGGAGAAGGGAAAAGGATACTTGCCTTTATGGATATTTTGAACTTTGTACTATTTTCACATCTGACCTGTTTTTTTTTAAAAATGAAGACATGTATTGGATGGTAATCCAAAGAGCTGGGTTCTAGAATTGCAAACAGCAATTACCAGCCAGCTCACCTGGTGTCTCTGAGCCTCAGTTTAATAACCACCCAGTTCTCAAGCTCAAAGAGTAGGCACAAGGGAGACCTTTGTAAACTAGATGGGGCTGGGCATACTTAATTATTATTTTTTCTTCATTCAGTTCATCTCAGTAGACAATAACTGAGGCCTTCTCTGTCCACAAAGTGTGTGGGTCTCTGTGTGCAAGTATGGGTGTGTATGTCTGGGTGTTTGTCTGGACATGTCAGGGTGGGGTGTGTGGTGACTGTGAAGTTGACCATCACAGGGTCCCTGCCCCAAGGAGCTCCTGGTGGAGCAGGACAGGTGACCAAGTGAACAATTTCCTCTAACGCTATTGCACTCCACTGAGGGCTAAATACAGGAGTGGAAAATGTCTTTGCACAAAAGGAACATGAATTTAGAGTCCTCTTACTGCTTGTCCCTTTTGCTTAGAATCCTCTTCCTACAGGCCCCCCAATCTCCTTTAGTTCTTTAAGCAAATATCACCTTCAGGAGGTCTAGTTGACCATACCCTTTAAGTAACAACTCCACCCACACTCCCCAAACCAACTCCTGCTTTATTTTTAGCTTATGTTTTTAATTTCAATGATAGTGAGGTTACTTGTAATAAAATTAACTTAAAATGCTAATTTTTTTACTCACTGTTTTTGTTAAATGTCTGTTTCCTCATTTCTCTCTCCCTGAAGGGAAGGGACCATGTCTCTTGTTCACTGCTATCTCCCCTGTATCTAGAACAGTACCTGGCACAGGTGGGCACTCAGCAAGTATTTGTGAATATGGCACTGAAAGGGTGGGGACTCAGGTGAGGATGGCAGCAAGGCCATGACCATGCCAGGGGAGGTGCAGAGCGGACTGAAAAGGCACCCTGTGATGTGGGATCTAGTGGAGAGCTGGATGGGGAAGGTAGGAACACTTAAGTTGCACGGGGAGGAAGATGTGACCTTCAGAAAATGTGAGACATCTGGGGGACCACTCTGTCTGCCCCAAGTTTTAGGTCAGTACCAATCCCCTCCCTTTGCAACCCTCAAATCAAAACCTGTTGATACGGGGGAGGAGATTCAGGGACTGATAGTTTGTTGTGGGAGGTGATGGTGGACCCATCCTGGGAGCCCGAGGCCACTTGGCAGTCCCTTGCCTGGGATGGATGGCAAACATATAGACGGTGGCAGGAAACTGTGGTGGTGGCGGCTGTGTGGTTGGTTCAGTGAGAGCAGAGCTGTTTCTACAATTATTGGGGAATAGAGAGCAGGCCCAGGTAGAAGGCAGGCTCAGCACTAGGGCCAAGGGAGAAGCTGAGCAGACAGAGACCTGGCTGGGAAAGCCGGGAGGCCAGACAAGGAGTCAGCATCCGGAGGCCCAGGAAGCACATCGCCAGAGAAGGAAGAATTGCCACTCGTGGGTCTTTACCAGAGTGAGCAACCCATAGGGGAGGAAATAAACATACTCTAAGTCTTGAAGATAGAGAGAGGGGACAAAGTGACCATTTCACTATGGCTTTTCATACATTTACTCACTTGATTAAGTCCTTAATGTATGCTGGACTTTGGTGGGATTTGGAGAAGCCGCAAGGAGCAGTACTGGACTCTGACCCCAGGTGAGGGAGAGAATGTCTTAGGAGAGAGGTGATAGCTACAAGAAGGCTGTGTTTGGGCTCAGCTGGGAATCCAGAGAAGGCTTCCTGGAAGAGGGAACATCTGCGCTGAGCACTTAGTGATGGTCATGGATTTGAAAGTCAGCTGGTCAGAATGAG